TTACAATTAAAAGTATAAATATAAATCTCAAAAATATATAGATACAGAAATGGCATTAGCTAAAACTGATTATTATTGAATATTAATAACAATTGAATACTTAACTTTTAGAATAATAGAAATAAATTTATAAGCATATAGTTCTAGTCTATTCAATATATTATTTTTTATAGTCAGATTAAATTTATGATTTGAATAAAGGGTTTTTGGATATTTTATTCTCAAGCAAATTGATAAATTCATTAAGATTAATCTAATTATATATTATATATTTTACCATTCCATCATTATCAGTATCACATTGATCAAAAATTTCCTACATCATTTCTTCATTTATTTCTTCATCAAATAATTCATTAAGTTCTTGTTTAGTAATCAATCCATTGCCCTCCAAATCAAACAATTTAAATGATTACTCTATTCTCTATCTACTTAAAATCATAATTTTAGTAGACAAGTTGAATAGTTTTTAAATGTAAATAATGAAACACTTATTAGCACTATGTGAACTCAATAATCCATCTTATAGTAAACTCATTCAAAACAAAAATAATTGTTTTCCAAAACAATTTATTGTGAAAACTGTTCTAAATTTTTGATAAAATATATTTAACAATTTATGTAGATGTTTTAAATAAGAATTTTTAAAAGTTAGCTAATTTTCAAAATTACAGAAAAATATATTTTAAATATAAAATAATTTATTCTGATTTTTTATTCTATTAAATATATTGTAAGATAATTTTATAGAAATTCTTAAGCGGATTTTTGAAAAAATTCAAATTAAGATTGTTCTATTAAATTGTGTGGGATAGAAAAACAGAATAATAAATAGTCAAATTAGATGGTCAAAATGACAATATTAGATCAGTCTGTACCTCTCCTGATGGAAATACATTAGCCTATGGTAGTGATGATAACTCTATCCGTTTATGGGATGCTGAAACACGATAATAAAAAGCCAATTTAGATGGTCATAATAATTATGTTTACTAAATCTATTTCTCTCCTGATGGAGATAAATTAATTTCATAAAGTAATGATTAATTTATAAGGATATGGGATGTAAAGATAGGATAAAAATTTTAACACAATTGAATTAGTTATCAGAAAGTTTTTGGATAATTTACTAGACAACAATTTATAAAGAATCCCCCTTTAGGTATTCCCATGATTACTGAATTTTTTCATTTCATTTTATTTTCTTCTGTTATAATTCAAATCAATAACAATTTTGCAATTCTAACTGCCTTTTTTAATAGGGTTTACCTAAAATAAACATAAATTAGTAGTTTTATTCTAAATCTAAAATTCTATTCATTGCCTCTATATAATTGAAATTTAACATAAAAAATAGTTTGAAACTCCTCTTTGCTGTATTCCTAACAGGTTCCTCTCATTTTTACACAAGATGTTCAATGAACATTAGCCATAACTTATCAAATAACAGTAATCATAAGTTAATCCTTATGATTGGATTAAAGTACTATTTGCAGATGATAATAGATATTCCTAGGCAGATACTCAAATGTCTTCAAAAACTTTTAAAAACAATAAGAAATTTTTGAAATTAAACTATCCCAAAAGCTGTGTTTTAACAAGTATCAAATTTATTAAAACATAATCTTTACAGTACATTCATTATAGAAAATTTTAGATGTATCAGCTGAACAAGTTGGCTTAGCATTTTCAGAGTTTATATTTCTTTTAAAATAATTTTTACTCAAATTGCGTTCTCCATCAACAATCAATAAATCAACAATCAATAAACCTGTAATTAATCCAAATAAATTTTTTCTAATCTTAAGACAAGACACTTTGATTTTCTATGATTTATAACTTATTAGAATAAATCATGGGAATACATTTAGAGAGTGATATTGTAGCATTAATTGGGTCTACAATAACTTGATTCTACATCCCAATAACAATTTGATCATTTTCTATACATTATAAAAACTATTTCAATCACATAATAATTTGTCTACTACACTTCATTCCAATTAAAAGCTCCAAATCCTAATCCAAAACATAATTTTGTTCTTTCTACACACTTATTTGTAGAAGGATCAAAAATAAATTTTAATCAATAATCAAGTTAAGTAAGCTGTAACAAGAAATAAAGATGGGTATTTTATATGTTATATCATTACAATAACCAAAATATTGTTCCGAATTCTAAAAACATTTTGGTTTAAGTCCATCTCAATATTCATATTAACAATTGTCCGAATGGTTTCTCTGTTAGCATGAATTTGGTGGTTTGATCTACATGTTTATTTTAAATAGATGATAATAAATTATCAATTGAATTAATTACTTTATTATTATTAATAATTATTTAATTCAATTTTTCAACATTTATTTATGAACATTGTATCAAATGTAAAAATCT